TTCCAAGGGATCCAACACACTCTTCTGGCCTCTGTGGACACTAGCAGGCATCCACATGGTACACAGACATACATTCAGACAAGAGACTTAGACATATAAATATGTTTCTCAGTTAATGGACTTCCTAGCTTACTGCCAAGTTAGATTCATTAATTTAGTCATCACATCTAAGAAAAACAAGAACATTATTATTCACTCAGAGGAGCAAACCTTGCTAAAATGAAAATACTAATCTTTTTCATATCTGCATACCAATTCTAAGTATCAAATTTACAATCACCCCCTCATCACTTTTTTTCACATCATTTGCTCCTCAAAGAACAATCCAGAAAAATAGTTTGAACCTCATCCAAGTTTTGCTTTTGAAAAGAAAAAGAAAATGTTCCACCTCTCTCTGCACAGAGACCCACAAAGGGTCTAACAAAAGTTCCCCAGAACAAGCATTACCCCAAACTGAGGCCAGTCACAGAAGAAAGTCTTACTTCAGTAAGCTGAAGAGATAGCAGCAGAGAACAAACAGCCAAACGCTATTGTTATACTGAACACACACAACCGATAGCTCTTAGTGTCTATAAACTGGGGTCTTTAAACCTCAGATCAGGCTCAAGCAAGAGACTGAATGAAAAAGACTTCCTGCCTGGCAAGTGAAGTAACCTCTACAGGAAGAATGCAAGTGTCTAAGTAACACTAGAATGGATACAAAAAAACATAGTGTCTTTTATTTTTCTAATTCCTTTTTAAACAGAAAACCTTTGTCTAGTTAAATGATGTTTCTTGAACATTTAAAGTGTGTAGCTATCACCCTTGCACTGAACTGCTTTCTACCAGAACACATATTTTTCCACTGAGAAATCTTAATATACATTATGAAAAATGTCTTCATGACTAACTCTTCAATCTATAATTCAGTACATAAATAGATCTAAGGATTACTTTTCAACAGGTGCACACAAAATAACATTTTACCAAGCGTCTCTCCCATGTCTACATTTGATAGCTATAATCCTTCTTCTAACATAATGCATTATTATAATGAAAATGCGAAGACATTTCTCTTTTCCTATTTATTTTATTTTGTGTGGATGTGTATGCAGCTGCATGGATGTATGCACACCAAGTGCATACAGGAGCCTGTGGAGGTCAGAAGGTATCCCTAGAAATGCAGTTGCAGAGGGGTCTGGGAGCCAAACTGTGGTCCCCTTCAAGACCGGATAAGTGCTCTTAGCCACTGAGCCATATCTTCAGTCCCAAGGATAGTTCTCTTTTATTTTTCATATTTTCACAAGAAAATTCTTAAGCAAACCACATAGGGATGGGTAAATTTCCTTCTATTGAAACAGAACACAGCCTAGGTGTGGTGGCTCCTGCCTGCTCGACAACCTCACCACCTGGAAGACTGAGGCAGGAAGGTAAGCTCAAGGCCAGTCTGGGCTATGATGAAAGACCCTGCCTAAAGAAACATAAAATTCATGAATAATTCTAATGCAAAATCAGTGGTCCTTATTTAATTGTTACAGTTTTATATTTTCATGTGTGTGTTTGCCTGCGTGTATGTGTACCATGTGCATGCCTGATGCTCTTAGAGGTCACAAGACGGCATTAGATGCCATGGTGCTTCCCATTTCCCCTGAGAATATGAAAAAGGGGTGTCACAAAAATCTCACAAAGTACTTTTTTAAAGACTTGCATTTATTATTATTTACGGGTATGTGTCACAGCACACACATGGAAGTTAAAGGGCAACTCTGTATAGTTTGTTCTCTCCTTCAACCCTTATATGATCAAACTCAGATCCTCAGAGATGCTGAACAGACATCTTTACACAGAGCCAACTCATCAGCCCTTAAAATGTACTTTAAAGCCAGGCAGTGGTGGTGCACACCTTTGAATCCAGCACTCAGGAGACAGAGGCAGGCAGATCTCTGTGAGTTCAAGGCCAGCCTGGTCTACAGAGCTACACAGAGAAACCCTGTCTAAAACAAAGCAAAACAAAACAGAGTGTTTTCAGTAACATAAGAGGTATAAAATATAAAAAAAGTTGGGAATCGGTTTTCGCCCACTATCAGCAACCATGCTTTCGGTTTCTCCATTACTTTTCACCCTTTTTCTTATTTTCCTTCCAGTATTTAGAAGCGATGTACTTCTTGGTATAATTACTTCAACTAGAGTTAAATTTTTGTCAATTTTCCAAGCTTTAAATCTCAAGCACACTGCTGGGAGAATTCTGGCCTAACCTTTTCTCTGCCTGGTTACCACAAAACCCTTGAGTTTTTTTCATCCAATCTCTACATTTCTAAGATCTAAAGATTGGACACTTTGTCTCTGCTCTCCAATAGAGGTGGGCAACCTCTTCTCCCTTAGTAACACTTGGACCTTTCAGAAACTTTGATTTTAATTAGGGATAGCCAAAGACATAAAGTAAACTATCCCAGTGCAGAACACTGTATAGTAGCTATTGGTTATTGAATGTGAAGTAACTGTTCACCTGTGAACTAAAGTAGGAGCTAGTTTTATCGAATTAGTATACAGTAACTGGGGCTGGAGAGATGGTTCATCGGTTAAGAGCACTGGCTAATCTTCCAGAGGACCAGGGTTCAATTCTCAGCACCCACAGAGCAGCTAACAACCATCTGTAATTCCTGTTCCAAAGGATCAGACAGCCTCTTAAGACATGCATGCAGGCAAAATATCAACACAAACAAAATTCAAATATGCATATAAATTAACTGATACCTGTATGTCATAATATGGGAAGGGTAAGAAGATTAAGTTTTAAAAAGCCAATTATGTATAGCATAGCACACATGTTTAATCAATGTCTGTGTACCATTTACACAGGAGATGCTTTTGCAAACCTCATACCACTGGTAAACATACAAAAGCTTAATTTAGTACATTACACAGGTAGATGGGTCCTAATGCACACATTTTTAAGGAGGTACAGTAGTTGCAGATAATGTGGTTAACTCCATGAGACATCTGTGTTACACACACAGACATCAAAATCAGCATGGCATGCTTTTGTGACACCAAAAAAGGCCAAGCTTGTGGGGAAATGATTACTTCCAACCAAAGTCTGCTTTAAATACTGTTCAGTTACCAGGCACTCAGCCAAAATAACACTAACCTGAAGTTATTGTTGCCTATGAATCACTCGCCAACTTTTAACCCATTTGTAAAACAAGGTAAATACTATGGATTTACTAAAAGTAAGTATGAATCAGGATTTTGGATTCACGTTTCTCTAACAAACGTACTCTATTTGATCCCAAGTCTTGGCTGCTCTCCTGACAGAATAATCTACACAAGCCACAGCTCAGAGGGGCATGGCTTTCATGATTAAACGGGGAGCTCTTGCTGCAGATGACTCTAGATTCCAGATGCATTTATCCTTTGCACTTCAGAAAGATCTCTTTGCTGGCTTAGTATCAGATCATAACTTATCGTTCTCTGATTGTTCCCACACCAGGGAATCTGTCTGCATTATCAGAAACTGTCCCTTTTTTCTTGTTTTTTTGTTTTGTTTTGTTTTTTTTGCTTTTATTTTGACCTGTTTTGTGCACAACAAAAATGTCCTATCATATTGCACAGTAAGGTTTTGTTTTCCCCTGCTTCCATAGGCTGTGAGGGTGTGTGTGTGTCTGTGTCCATAGAAAAAAGTTAAAAATATAAAACCAACACTGTCCCTCCAAATACTGTTTTATTGCTGTTGGGAAAAACCAAAAGATGAGAATCTGATTGAATTTTGTGTCTTATAATTGCTGGAACACTATTCAAAACGATTTCCCAAAGCAAGGCCTTAAGTGTTTTAGTTTTAATTGGTCAGTTTGGCCTTTGTTCTGCAAGAGGATTACACCCATGAAATTCTAATTCTGTATGCCCAAACTGGCAGCATCCACGAAGAGGCTTCTAGCCAGGAACAGTTTTCTGGTGGGCATTGAGGTAATCAAAACAGACTCTCCAAGGAAATGCTCAAAACCTACCTCATGCGTGTACCTTCTGAAATGACAGGACTAGGAGAGGGAACAGGGCATCATGAACTCTATCCCCAGACACACAGCTCCCGGACGCGGGGCGGGGAGGGGGGGGGGAACACAGGGGAGAACGGAGGGCGGACACACCCGACCTGCAGACTCCACAGCTGCCTTAACTAAAATGCCTCACTGGTTTAATACTGAAGGAGAAAGACAAAACACACACACCGTATTCCTAGCTCCTTGGTAGTTAAATTGTTGGAAAAGCGAAACAAACGCGCAGGCGCATCCTCAGGTTGTCATGTATTTAAAAAAAAGAAAAAAGTGCACTCATTAAAATTAAGGAAGTGGGTCGGGTGCAAGCTCGTAGGCTTTCTAGGTTACAAGCAGCAATACATTTTTGATGACTACAAACAGAAGCAAACCGATCACGGATTTGCTTTGTGAGATGTTTACTTAAATGTGAAGATTAAAACAAAAAAAAAACAAAAAAAAACAGCTCCCTAGCGGAAAGAAAATTGTTTTCAGGGCAAATGTAGCATTCCCCAGCTACAACCCAGCTACAAATCCCAGGAACACAATCACGACGACTGATAAATGTTTCAGCGAGTGAATGCATTAGTTTACTTTCCCCAAGACTACTACGGGGGAGGGAGTGCTTCCACGAAGCCGAGAAGCACGCGTCCAGCACCGGAGTGGGGTGCAGCCTGTCCGTTCAATTCTGCGCCTGTCTGGGAGCTGCGAGGGGCCTAAGAGCTTCTGGGGGAGGCCGGGAGTGGGCAGTCTGTCTCCCTCGCCAGACCTCTAATTGCTGCTGGAAGTTGGGGTGTCCAGAACCCTTTGAGACTGCAGTTACTTTTCTAGGCAACTCCAAGTTAGCGCATCTCCAGACTCCCTGCTCTGTCTGAGGCCGCCAGCTGCTGCCCCGCCTTTGCACCGGCGGCGGGGCTAGACCGATGACAGTCTTGAGACAAAGCCGCGGACCCCCACGTCGCGGTCCCCGCACCGTGCCCAGGCCGTACCTACCTTGATACCCTGCTGCTGGGTGGTGAGGGTGAGCTTGGACTCGTCTAGAAGCAAAACTTCGCAGTAGAATTCTTCCGGAACGGCGCAGAAACAGCCCATGACGGCTGAAAGCGTCTCCAGCCAGGCGAGAGCAGCGACCGCGGTGCCCGCCGCCTCCTCCCCTCAAGCGCGAAGCATTAATTTATTGTGCGCGCCGTGGAGAGGGCGAGAGGCGCGGGTCTGGGTGGGGCCCTCGGGGCGAGCGTTGGGGTCCTGCGGTCGATCCGAGGGCACCCCGAGAAGCTCGGAGAGCGGAGGCGGGAGGGCGAGCGCACCCCGGAGCGTCAGGGGCCCGGAGCCGCCCGGGAAGCGCCCGCCGAACTGGGCGTCGGGAGCGGCGTGTCCCCGCGCATCCTGCGGCTGTGGCTCCTCTTCTGAAGACTGGGGCGGCGACCTGGGGAGAGGAGTCGCCTGGTTAGGGCCGGCCAGCCAGAGACACGAAAAGAGCGAGCCGGGCGCTCCAGACCCTTCCTGGGTTTGAATGCCCCTCGGTACTAGGCAGCGCCAGATCCGTACAAGCACTGGAGCGATTCCCCTGCCGCAGCTCCCGAGTCCCCAACCCAGCGCGCACTGCCAGCGCCGACCCCGCCCCGCACCCACCCACCCACCCCGACAGAGCAGAAAGCGCTCAGCTTCTCTTTTGTGTCGGGGGTGGCCACGACCCCCAGCCTGGGACGCAGGGCCAGGTCGCCACTCCCTCCGCCACTCTCACATCCAGCCCGGGAGCGCGGAGGACCGGCCAGGGCTCCTCACCAAAACCAGCCGGGGGGAGGTCAGCTAGTCGCCGGCCGCGGCTTCCGTCTGAGAGTCCCCGAACTCATCCCGCGGAGATGGCCAAGTTCAAGCGCTGCTCCCCCGAACGCCCTGCCACCGGAACCGAACTCCGCTCCTGACGAATGTACTGAAAAGCCGGGCGTCGGAGGACCTGCGGGCGAGCGGGCGGGCGGGCGGGCGGGCGGGCGGGCGGGCGCGACAGAACCCCGGCACCCAGGCCGCCGAGGCTCCAGGGAAAGTTCTTGGCGGCGCGCGGGGCGGGGCCGTGGGCGGGAGCGACCCAGGTGCAGAGGGCCCCGGACTCGGGGCGACCGCAAAAAGCCACCGAGCCGAAGCAGGATCCGCGGGACGACGAGCCGAGCGCCCCTTCTGGGCGGGGTCTGCGCTGGGGCGGAGGGCGGGGCGGAGGTGGTCAGTCTGGCCGGCTGCCGGCAGGTCCCTGCGAGAACGCGTGCGCTGCACTGGAGCCGCGCGGCCGTCGCCAGGTCACTGCGTTCGTTTCCCTGGGAGACCTGGAGGTTGGTTCTAGGCCGCCAGGGAGCAATTCTGCTCCGACCCCTGCGTTCTGCTGTCCCAGTCCCACGCCCTCCGCGCGGCCGGCCGGGGCCAGGCACTGGTAGGCACAATAGCTCTGAGGCTGCAGTGACCCCTGGTGGGTCCCCGTGTCCGTGCACAGGCAACACCGGCTTACCATTGAAGACACAGAACCCCCGCTGGCCCAGGGAGCAGGTGCAACCTGAGCTCTCTAGCTGGGAAGTAGCGCGAATTAATGTCAACAGCAGTCACAGGAAGCTGGGGGGGGGGGGGGAGCACGCACCGCGGGAGGTGTCTCTCAGAACTCTGTTTGGTATTGACTAATAAAAAGAGAAAGAACTTGGCATCAGGTAGGAATTCCCAACTTCCACCACTTGTTAGCCTGAATGGTCAAAACACCCACACCCACACACACACACACACACACACACACACACACACACACACACACAAAGAAAAAAAAGAAAAAATGCACTTAAGTAAAAACTTTGTGTTCACAGCAACACAGTAAAAGACAGTTTTGAAACAGTTGGGCATAGTTGTCAACAGTGATTCCCACAAAGGACTTCGTATGAAACCTCACTTTTCCTTGCCAAACTTCCAGATAAATATTATCTTCTAACGTTTCTGGAAACTGAAGCAAGCTTTGAGATTCTAGTCAAACTGTACATTTTCCAAACTTCTGAAATTTAATGATAATTTGAAAAAAGAAAAAAATTAAAAAACATTGATAAATAATTTCATTACTTAAATGTGAGCAAGTAAGGCGGCAGAATCACCATGAAGACTTGGAAACCCACAGATTCCTGGCCTGAACCTCACAGTTTTTAAGTAGGTCTAGAGCCTTGAGAATTTCCATTTCCAGCAACTTCTACCATTGATATAAGGACATTTTGCAAACCAGTAGAAGTTACCTTCCCCCAAAAAAGTTGTTGCTAATAATTTACACATTATTTGGAGGATGATTCATTCTTCACTGGTAGCCTCTCTGTTAATCTCATCATCCATTATTGAAGACCCTGTCAAATTGGTCCCAACAGAGAGAATAGCTTTTAAGGAAAGGAATTATCCTTGCTTGGGTTTTGTAATACTATTGCCTATGCTACTTGGACAACATACTCCTTTTCTCTCTAATAATGTGCCTGGGCACATTCACTTTTTAAGACTGTCCTGCCTTCTGACTCATTCATGGCTATGTCACTAACCAGTGCTCGTCCCTTCCAAGGACTGAAGTCCAAGATGGCATCTATAGAAATGCCTCAAGGCTGTAGCCCACATTACAAGGACACTCACTTCCCAAGACTGCCCTGCCTTGCAAGCTGTTTCTTCTCCTGTATGCTCTCCAGATAAAGGCTCTTTAGAATTACTGAGAGTTCTTGGGCGATTTTAAAGCAAAGTCTTTATTGGTGAGTGCATTGAGATGGCTTATACTTTGTATAAATGGTTTAGAAGTTTGAAACACCCTAACCTCCCTTCTCCGCTCAAACACAGGCTACTTGAGAAGTCTTATCCTTTTAGGATCTTGAGATTTGGGGTTGTTGTTTGTTTGTTTTCAATTTTCTAAACAACAGATTCTTACCTTTCGCCTGTTTAATTGAGAGATGTTCCAAAGACTGGCAAAGTGGGATAAAAGGGAGAAAGGGGATGATGCAATAGCTCAGGCAGCAAAGTGCCTGCTGTGCAAGCATATTACTTGAGGTCAGATCCATGGCACCCAATAGAAACCTATGACCATAATCACACACCTGTAACCTTATCACAAAGGGGGAAGATGTCAGGAGATCCCTGGAGCTCCCTGGCCGCCAGTCTAGCCTGCATGCCAGGTTTAACAAGAAACGATATCAAAAGACAATTTGGGAAGCAATTAAAAATGCCCCACATCAATCTCTGGCCGCCACATGCATGTGCACACATGTATACACATACATACATACTGCATACATACAAACAAGTATCATATCTGGGTACATTGTTGGAATGCAACCTGACATGAATATAATATTTTAAATACGTGTGCACTTTGATCCAGACATTCAGCATCTACGAATTTAAACCAAAGCAAAACCCCAGATAAATGGGAAAAGGTATTTATTATATCACTTCTAATATTAAAATGTTTTGAACAGTCTAAATGTCCAATAATAGGAAGTTAAAGTTGAACATTGTATACACATATGACAGTATACAAAAAAGATTAAATAGCCATATAATGCACTGACATGGAAAATTATCAAAGGTTTAAAAAAACAAGGACCTCACATAAATATGTACAATTGGAAGGGTTTGTTTTGGGTTTGGATTTTCTTTCATTACATTTAAACTTTTTGTTGATCTATGGTGCAGACAGGTAGAAGCCAGCGACAACTTTTGAGAGTTGATTCTCTCCTCTCACGATGTGGGCCCTAAGAATCCAACTCAGCTCTTCAGGCTTAACTGCAAGTACCTTTGCCCACTGAGCCATTTCACTGGCCCCGTTTTTCTCTGTTTTTGTGATATAAACATGCTATATTGGTTGCAATGGTAAAAGAAAGTGAGAAAAGAAAATGTCAGATCTTGATCCTGCGATCTGCAGACCCAGGCACTACCTTCTCGTGTTTTTAAAAGGAAATTTAAAGTTTTTGCAATGCCCAGTGAAAATTTTAAGCCAAAAGGGGGGGGGTGGTATTCTTATTCTAAAACATGAACTCTGTCAAATTATTCCTTAGTGAAACTGGACTTCAGTCAGAAATGGAATACCTTTTCTAAGTACCAACATAGGTTTTTAATGTATTGATTATTTTATCTAGTTAGTATGTTCTGGTTTCCTCCCTGGATAAAATATATCAACAATGACAACTTAGTCACGTGTTAGTCACTCCATAAAACATGAAGAAAACAATAGAGAAATTAGCCTATTTGGTTATCTCATCACTGCTTTTATTTTGAATGAGGTTATATGACCTTGAAGATGTCCCGTCATCTCTTGGACCTCAGCCTGTTCATCAGTCAGATAAGGGCTTTAGGATATGTGTCACAGTTATTCCAGAGTATGTTCAACATGCCGAATTCCATGTTTTTCCACATTGCTACTCTTTAAAGGCAATAACCCCAGGAAGGAACAGCCCAACATATCAGCTAGCAAAGAAACATCTGGAGTAAATGACCTCTGAACTCACGTCTAGCTTTCTGATTAAGACTTTGCCAAGAGAAACTGAAAACACTCATTTCCTCCATGGAGAGGTATGTGGGATTGGTGCACTGACCAGAACAGACAACTTGCTGCAATTTTGTATCCTGTCATTCCCTATATGTTACCTCTTTATTACCTACATATATGTTTTTAAATCATCTAGAAAAAGACAAAGGGCTGGGTATGATATCACCTCATTTTTTAAATTTAATTGTATGTGTCTGGGTGTTTTGCCCATATGTATATTTGTGCACTGTTTGCCCTCAGAGGCCAAAAGAATGTATGAGATCCCCTAAAACTGGCGTTAGGGACAGTTGTGAGCCGAGGGTTGTGAACATGGGCCCTGATATCATCTCTTAAATGAGCGTAAGGACTGGACCTACGAATGAGAAGATACCCGTAGTGAATTAGCGCTTTGTGGAAAAACCATGAATTCTGTTTCCTGTTGTTTTGTTTTGTTTTTTTTATCAATTTTATTTCTTGAATATTATGCCTGTGGCCAAGTAACTATAAGATTATTAGTTTTAGAAGATATAAATTTTAATAAAGAACACAAGGAGACCAGGCTCAGGGGTGAGGGAAGCGGCAGGCTCCTGTAGGGACCATGCTGCTTGGTCCTTGTAGACAGCCTGTGAGCCACTGGCTTCAGTCCGAGGACTATCAGGCCTTCTCTCATTAAAAATCGTCCCGATACCCTTTCTTTGGCAAACCTGCATTTGTTAATCCACTTTCATCCTGCTTGTTTCCATGTGCTGCTCAGACATCAGTCTGCCTTGTTCTCGCTCCTCCGAGAAGCTCTCTTGACTCTGAGATCAGGATCAGGTACCATGTGTAATTGCCATCCTTACTAGACTGTAGTTCCATACAACCAGGGCAGTGCTATAAATCAAAGGTACCTCTTGCTGGATTCCAAGCACCTGGCACGTGCTCAGTGGATAGCAGACTCAATAGATACACATTGCATGGCTAAGGATCTGCGCAAACCTCATTGCTAGTATGGTACCTGCAAATTTCCTTTCAGCATTTGCAATTGAACTCTAAGTTAACTCCTTTCTCTTATATTGTCAGGGTTGATACAAACTGTAATCTCAGCATACAGGAGGCTAAACAAGGAGAATCAGGGGGTTGAAGTCATCTGGAACTACATAGCAAGATCCTGTCTCAATCCCAACTGTAATTTTTAACCCTTTAAAGGCTGGGGCAAGAGGATCACTACAAGTTAAAGACCAGCCAGACCGAGCTACAAAGTGAGACCCTGTCTCAAAACAACAATTTTTTAAAAAAATCAGGTACGAGAGACTATAGCTCAGTACTTGTTTGCTTGCTTACCATGTATGAGGACCTGGGCTTGGGCCCTAGTACCAATTAATTTATTAATGAATTACAATTCATTAAGATAAACAAGAACAGCCAGGCCTTGGT